GCATTCCTGATACACTGATAGCAACATTCAGAAACTATTGCAAATGGAAACTTGAGCTGTGCTTTCGCCTCCCCCATAGGAAGATCCATTTGTGCTGATGTGCTGTGAAGGTACTGGTCATGGAAGTGAAAAAAATTACAACTTTTACTAAGTTGGGGCCGGTTACTCCTCTTTTCTGTCTTCATCCCCTCTTGAAGATAGATAGGAGCACTTCCTATGATGCACTTCAAATACAGAATACGGCATCTGGTTTTGTTTGCCTTAAGAAAAGGTGAAGTAGTAACAGTGTTTTATTCAGACAAAGTGAAAAAATCAGGCTATTCACTAGGGTACGTGTGTGTGGTCAGTAAGGTAAATTTTATATACCTTGTTTACTTGGCCTTCCCCCCCCCCCCCGGCCCTTCATTTAACATGTGATAAGCGGGAGCCCCTTATCTTGGAATAGTATATGGGGGGGGCAACGGGGAAGGGTAGGTGACTGCTGTGGCTTGGGCTCTAGCCTCTACCCGGGGTTGGGGTTGTAGCTGCTGTCTACCCTTCACCCTGCATCCCACCATCTCCCCCCTGCAGCCTCTTTCCCCCATATAGCCTCTGCTCCACTGTCTGCCCCTCTCTTTCACTCCTCTTACTTTTGCTCTATGCTGGCAGGCTCCATCCATGCTGCAGCCTGGGGCACAGAGCACAACCCCAGCCTAGCCTCATAGCAGTGAGGCTGAGAGGGTGGGGGGCAGGTAGAGGCTGGGTGAGGAGAGGGGAGGGGGGAATCGGAGGCTGGGGGGGAGGGATGCCCAAGGCTGTTAGAGGACAGGCAAAAGCACCTGCTCCCCCACTGCCTGCCTACCCTTGCAGCGGGGAGGGGGGGATGGATGAATTAAAGCAGACACTCCAAAAATTAGATTGTGTACATGGGAAATTATAACAAATTCATAATTTTTCCATGTATAGAATATATTTATTGGGGGTCTTCTTAAATTAATGGTCATCTTAGATTTGAGTAAATGTGATAATTTCTATAGTTTTAATTGGAATTGTATGTCAGATACTGTCTCACCTAGATCTTCTTTTCCTTATTCATTCTTTTCCAAACTATATTTGGCTAGTAGGAAAGATGTTCTTCTAAATCCAGTTTTTAAAAGGGCCTTGGAAAATGAATGGCCAAATTGTGCATCTGGTAACTACTATATTTACTTATTTCCAAGATGAGGTGTGTGTCCATTTAACACGGGAGAAAAAACCCCTCATCTTCAAATTGTGTACAAGGAAGTTGGTGGCAGAGGGGTGAGGAGGGAGGGTGGGCAGCTGCTGTGGCTCCAGCTTTAGCCCTGACCCCAGGTTGGGGCCAGTGCCACAGCAACTGCCTGCCCCCCACTGCCCCTGCACCCCCTGCCTCTTCTGCCTGCGACCCCACAGCCTAAGGCCCCTGCCCCCAGTCTCCCCTCCGCTCTCCATCTCTTCCTTCTGTTCCCATCCCCTTCTCCCCACACTGCTTCTGCAGTCTTGGGCCCCCACCCCCTTCCTCCATCATTCAATAAAGTGGGAGCCTCTGCTAAAGGGTCTTTTCCCTCTAACATCAGATAGTCTTAACTGCTTTTCTCTGTCTAGAAATAGGGTGGGATTTTCAACACTGGTCAGCTCTGGCCTAACTGGGTTCCCATTAGAATTACTGTGAGTGTTACAATTTTACTTCACTGGAAGGGACCTCCAGAGGTCATCTAATCTAGCCCCTTACTTGAGGCAGGATCATCCCTAAACAAACCATCCTATACCGAGACTCCCCAGTCCTTTCCCATCCAGCCAGGTGTTCCCCGTTTTGTCTTTGTGTTTTTGGTTATTTTCCTGAGTTGTAGCATTTGTCTGTATTTAACTTCATCCTGTTAGCTCTAGCCCAACTATCCAGTCTGTTGAGATCCTTCTGAATTGCACTCGCATCCTCTAGCATGTTCACAATCCTTTTCCAGTTTTGTCATCCACAAACTTGCTCAGGAAGCTTCCTTTGCCAGTATCCATATCCTTATTAAACACACTGAACTGCACCAGGCCAAGGACTGAGTCCTGTGGAACTCCACTCAAAACCTCCTGCCATTCTGACATGGACCAGTTAATAATTACCCTTTGCTTGCAGCTATTGAGCCACTTATCTGTCCACCTTGTAGTTTTATCTAGCCCATATTTCTCCAATTTGTTTATTTCTCCAATTTGTTTAACATGATTTTTTTTTTTCATAAATCTATGCTGGCTGCTTGCATTCAGCCTTTCCTCCCCCTTGCAAGTGGCCTTTTTTTAAGCTATGCTCCACTTACTTCCCAGGTATTGAGGTGAGGCTAACTCATCTGTAGTTCCCTGAGTCATCCTTGCCTTTTTTAAAGAGGGGCACTATGTTGGCCCTTTCCCAGTCCTCTGGTACCTGATCTGTCTCCCACAACTTCATGAAGATTGTGGCCAAGGGCTCTGAGATCTCTGCCAGTTCCTTTAGGACCTTGGGATGAAGCTTATCCAGCCCTGCTGACTTGACTTCACTCAGAACCAGCAAAAGCTTTCTGACCATCTCTTTAGTGATCTCCCTCAGCTTGCCCCCTTCCTTATCTAGATAATTCCTATTGATGTCTGGCAGCTTAGTTTTTTTGTGAAGACTGAGGCAAAGTAGCTGTTGAGTAGCTCCACCTTCTTTGCACCTTTGGTTAGGAGTTCCCCTGGTTTGTTAAAAAAGGACCCATAGCTTCCTTGGTCCTTCTTTTCTGGCCAGCATACTTACAGACCTCTTCTTGCTGCCCTTAACCACCTTTGCCAGGTGCAGCTCATTCTTTATCTTTACCTTCCTGATTGGAGGCTGGAGTGGCAAAGGTGCTAAGGTACATGGCTGACAGCCCAGAGGTCGCAAGCTTGAGGCCATAGCAGAAGTGCTTATAGTGTGGCCCTGTCCTATTCCAAAGGAGTCTGTGAATTCTGCAAACTACCTTGTCACAAGGGCGTGAGAAAGGAAGGCCTTCCTGATTTTGTCCCTGCAGGTTCTTGCTACTGCCTGACCTGTTATGCATCCTTGGTGGCCTGCCCATTCTTCCATTGCCTATGTGCTTTCCTTTTGCATTTGAGGTATTTTAGAAGAAACATGTGCAGCCACTTTTTTCTCTTGTCATTCTTCTTGTGCTTCCATTGTATTGGGACAGTTTCATGTTGGGCTTCCAATACTGTGCCCCTTAAAAATTCCCAGTTCTCCTGGGCACCTTTATTCTTCAATCTGTCCTCCCATGACACCATGCCTATTAGTTCCTTGAGTTGAATGAAATCTGCCTTTTTGAAACCTAGCATCCTGATACTGCTGACCTCATTTTTTCCCTGTCTCAGGATCTAGAATTCTAGTGTATCGTGATCGCTTCCTCCCAGGTTACCCATCACCGTCACATCTTCCACCAGTTCTTCCCTGTTCGTCAGGACAAGATCCAAGATAGCTGATCCCTTAGTTGTATCCTCCACTTTCTGGAAGAGAAAGTTTTCTTCCACACAAGTTAGGATCCAGCTTGAAATGTCATGTTTGGCTGCATTGTTTTTCCAGCAGATGTCTAGATAATTAAAGCCTCTTATCAGTACCATCCCATAGGTTTTGGATAAATTTGTCACCTGCTTGAAGAGTGCCTCATCCACCTCTTCCAGATTCGGTGGCCTGTAATAAATCTCCACAATGCCTCTGGAAAATTCTCTCACAATGTGGAAAATTCTCCACATCAAATGGGAAGATCACCATACACATGCCAGTATCTTTGCTGAAGCTAATGTTACCAGCATAGAGTCAGTGATCCTCAAGCACCAACTTCACTGGACTGGACATTGTGTGCAGATGCCTGACTCTCAAAACTCCCAAAACAAGTGCTCTGCTGCCAGCTTAGCAATGGCCCAAGATCTTGCAGTGGCCAAATGCTACAAGGACACGTTGAGGGCATGCCTCAAGAAATCAGATGCTGACGTCAAGACTTGGGAGGAGCTGGCTCCTGACCAACTTCGCTGGCAGCACAACCTCAACCAAGCGTCTGCCTGTTTTGAGGTGAAGCATCTTGCCTTCAATGCAGAGAATAGAGTGGCGGAAGGAAATAGAGAGAGATCCTGGCATACGGTCTGTCCTTTGCTACAGAAAGACCAACTTGTGCAGACAGGTCGGTGACTCAAGGATTGTAATCTTAAGTCACTTAAAGACCCATCAACGAGCCATGGTAGAGAGCATCCTTGAATCGAGGGACTGTGGAGTACGACAATGGTAGAACACAATTGTTCTGTTAGGATTTTTAAAAATCACCAATTTCAGAGTTTTTTTCCCCTTTTGGATTTAATTTTTTTTTTTTAATCGGGAATGTTTCGCTCCTAAGCAGAGAAAATGAGGAAAATATGGGAGCAGTTTTAGAAAATAAGAAAAATCCTGCTTTCCATTCTGTCCTAGCTTCATGTGATGATTACTAACCAAGTGCAAATTTTATTTTAATAAAAAAGAAATAAATTGCCCTATATATTAGTTTTCAGTGCTTTTTGCAGCTATACACAATATTTGGCTACCATTTGTGGGTTTCACCTGTTAGTGCTGGGAATTTAGGGGTGCTAAGTACACTAGGGAGGCCATTGAGGTATCTCAAGAATAGAGGACAGGTGCATTTAGTGCAACTGTCCCCACCACCATGAATATCGCGTGCCTCCTGAGGCTGGGGGGGACACGGCGAGCAGCCTCAGGCAGTGGTGGTGGTGAGCGGGGAGTTCCTGCAGGCGGCCACAGTGGTGTTGGCAGCGGAGGCAGGGGGTGCCATAGCAGTGAAAAATAGTGGACATAAAGGCATCCGGTTTCATATCATTAGAGGACAGAGGACTAGAAAATCAGACTGTCCTCAATAAAACGGGATGAATGGCCACCCTACTGTGCACCCTTTGGACTTATTTACAGTTTGTTAGTAACCTCCACACAGTCATGGCCTTTTTTAATAGAGTGGCTCTGTTGCAGTACCTATTAGGTTGACCAGGTAAGTAGAGGGCATACAAGATATTTTTACCTCCCTTTATTTCACTTGCATGTTTAACACCAAAAGGTGTTACCATGCATTCACAGTAAGAACAAGGTTGTGGTTCAGTAGAGGTTGGTTACTAGTCTCCTACGTGACCCTTTTTTTCTAAAATAAAGAAGCAGTTAATCAGAATCTTACTAAGATTTTAAAAAGATGGCAGGGAAAATGCTTTTATTTGTGTATAGACAAGGTTCTTTGGGTATAAATCTGATATCTTTTGTTAGACCAACTCAATTAGTTGGAAAAATTCTTCTTTGCAAGCTTTTGGGTACAAGCTTTAGTTGTGTATGTACTTTTCTCATTTTTCTAATTGATGAAGTTAATCAGTTTTGTGTCTTCTCTCTCTCTTTTTTTTGTTCCGGCCTTTCCCAGCAAACTGGGACAAAAGGCCTGAAATGTTTATAAATACAAATGTAAAATAAGCTATTGTGTGATAGGCGAGTTGTATTTTTGGTAGACTTGCAGTGAAATGAACTGAATGGCAAGAACATTCACTTCAGTAGCTTCTTACAATGTAAAATTCCCCAAAGGATACTTTCACTGGAGCTGTCTCTGTAGGAATAGGAGGGGTCAGCAGCCATTGCTGATGCAGCTGTGGAGCTTTCATGTAACCCAATCCCTGCATCTAAGATAAAAATGCTAGTTAGAAAAAATAGTGAAGGAGCATTCTCTTTTGTTGAACATACTCTGACTGCATTTTACCCTAGCATAGCAGCAAATTTACTGCCCCCTGACAGTTCAGAAAACATGGGCAGAGTTTTATAGTCCTGGAACATCTGCATTGATCAGAGAATAGGATGAATATATGAGGATTTGTTGCTGTATGACTATCACTTGCATATTTATATTTCAGTGTCTTGTGAGGAACAGGCCAAAGTGTTTAAATTACTCTGTGCTATTCATTTGCTGTGTAGCTTTTTGGTTTTAGCTGGCCTGTTTGTTGAGAGGGTCAGTCCTTTATAGCATGGGTAACATGTTGTCCTAAAGCCTGAATATGAATTTTAAAAATGTTCTTTCTTGAAGGACCTAGTTATTGCTATGGTACTACTGGGACTTATCTTTTGTTTCTAGTATGTTTGATCAACATATCCAGTAAAAGTGGTTTTGAGCATGAGCTCTTACTATGTCTAAAAGCATGTGGGTTTTTTTGCATTCAGCAGATTGGTTCATCTGATAATGTCAGTCGCTCTTTATTCTTTTGTGACCCTTGCCATGGCAGATGGTAGTCTGAAGTTGTGAGTAACAAATGTCATTGCTTACATTTTCTCAGGGAAGAATGGACAAAAGCCATCCAAACAGTAGCAGATAGCCTTAAGAAGCAGGAGGAAGAAATGATGGATTTTAGATCTGGTTCTCCTAGTGATAATTCAGGTGCTGAAGAAATGGAAGTTTCTATGACAAAACCAAAACATAAAGTGGTAAGTGAGCATAGGAGAAATAATATTTGAATAGGGGTCTTGTTATGAGAACACACCTTGCTGCTGACAGCCCCAAGCTTTATTGAATTCAGTGTCAGCTGTCTGCCAGTAATCCTTTTGATTCTGAATAGGGGCAAGGGTACTAGTAGGTATGCCTTGAATGCAAATGAGCAGTAACCATCAATATACAACTCCCTTCTTTCCCCCTTCCCCTCCCTAATGATGTATGCTGATGAGGAGATTCTGTACCTGTGAATTAGAGTACTGCTTTCTTTCTTGTCCCATGTCTTGCCCTCAGCATTGTAATCCCCATTTGCTTCCGAAACTGTGTCTGTGTTCTGGGGACATGAGCTGAGCCAATAAACTTTTACTGAGAAACTGTTCACCCCCAAGCTACGTCGCTGACAAGCATGTACTCTAGGTGTTCATTCAGAAAATGAATTTATGCCAATGTGTGCAACTATTCGCTTGTCACTCTGAGATACAGCTCCCATTGATCCTGACTGCCCTCTGCTTTAGTGTGTCAGCAAGATTTTGCTGGAGCATTCCAGCAGGATGCACCAGGAACATATGAAAGAATGTCATGGTTCGGCTAGGAAGCGGAGGTAAATTCCTCAGGAATGGTGATTCAAGTCCCTTTGAGCCTGAGAGCCAGGATCCAGCTGAATGACCACTTGGGTCCTGAAACCATTAAAAATCCACTCTTGGTTTTATAAATGCAATCAGATGTCACCTCTTAGTCAGTCCATTTATTAATGCCTTCAGCCAGGGAGAGAGAAGGCTGGTATTGGGAGCACTTTCAATCCTGCCTGGCAAGCCCATATTAATTCAAAGCTACATAGGCCTACAGCTATCCCCTTAGAAATACCACAAGAAGTATCTGAGACCAAGCTGTTCTCATTCCTACACCAGCTGTTTTAATAAAGAGAGAAAAAACAAGAGACAAGGCAAGAGGACAGTTCAGATGGCAGCATGGCCTCTGCATGCTGTCTGACACCATGCTTTGGAAGGCTGATCTCCCATAGAGATGGTCAAAGCCTCAAAAAGGGACATGAATCTGTAGAATGAGAAACCAGGTAGCTTTTTTTCCTAAGACTCCAAGGTGTTAGTCACACCATAAATCACAACATGCCACATGTTCAGCCAATTTATGAAGCCGTAAGTTGGCAAACCAGCCTCAAAGATGGTTCTACATCTAATGTAGAAAATCTTTGTGGCTGGTTTGTATCATGCCTCAAATTGAATGTGTGGTATGTGTTGTTTTCCAGACCAGAGCTGTCCCACCAGTGTTGACAATCAGGTGATTTTTGTCACCAACCCTGAACACCCCTGGCTCCTGAGACTGCCTCCAGACCAGTCCTCAAGTATTGGGCTGGAAGCAGCTCTAGAACTCAGTTGTGTCCTGCCTGGAGGCAGCCCCACAGTGATGGGATTTGGAAACCAAGGAGTTTATGCTCCATCCCAAACTTCATACGTCCTTCCATGCATGTCTGACATGACAGAACACACATTGTTTAGGGAGGGGTGTAAAATTCCTTGGCCACACGGTCACGCCATTATTTTAATGTCTGCTAGGGGCCCAAATGATAAAGGCTGCATGGCCATATGGACTTTCAGTTTTGCCTGATTCAAATGAAGGAATTTTCAGGCAACTTAGTGGGTTTGATTCTTATTATTGGATAATGTAATATAGATGTCCTATTTTGGAAAAACCACTTGAGTTTTTGCTCAATTGACTAGAAGTCATATGTACCATTTTAAAAGAAATTCATAACTCTCAGCTAATAACTCAGCTGCTGTTTCTTCTTCTTGAGTCATCATTCATAGGCATTTCAAAACTGGTTATGATGTGTTGTTTACCTTACTGTCATTAACAGACCATGAATGAGTTTGAATACCTTAAGCTACTGGGAAAAGGCACTTTCGGGAAGGTTATTCTAGTTAAAGAAAAAGCAACTGGACGGTATTATGCTATGAAAATTCTGAAGAAGGAAGTAATTGTAGCCAAGGTAAGCATACTGGAACATCCTGGGCCCAGTTTATCCCTCATGTAACTCTGGCTTCTGGAGTTGCATCAAGACCTGCTTTACCCTGGGTAGCATGCCGTTTATTTCCTTGTTACTTGTGACTGGACTCGTTGTCTCAGATGAATTGCACTGATGGCTTTCTGCTGTGTGGCATTGCAGGATGAAGTAGCACACACGCTGACAGAAAACCGTGTTTTACAAAACTCTAGGCACCCATTCTTAACAGTAAGTATTCCTCCTTTTTCAGTATGTTGGTAAAGCCATTTTGGCATTGTGACAGCCATAACTTTCCTCCTTATTGTAGTAATAAAACAAATCTTATGAGCCTTAGTTTTCAACAGTGACTAGTAATGCTGGGTAGTTCAGTGATTGAGATGCCGTTGAGGGTCCTGATATTTAGCCGGTGAGTGCTTGGTACTTAATGAAAAAACAAAGATCCCTTTAGAGAGACCCTTTGAGTCTCTAAAACCAGTACAATCCCTAAGTACAGTCATTGGTGCGCCTGTTGACTTTTATTGCAGAATACTGTCTGATCTTCCTCTCTGCAAAAATATTGCTGATTCAGACGTGCTCCTTGTAATGTTGGGTATGATGACATTGTGCTCTACGTCGCCCCTTTTCATGCTGGCATAAAGCAAAACATCTCAAGCAAGGGCTGTCTTGAAAACCCAGCTGTCAGGCTGGGTCATGACCCATAAAAACAAATGAAGGATGTGGCAAACAAGCTGTTGGCACTCATGATGTGGGAATACACATGATGCAACTGTACAGAGACACTTTGTGACATGCTGCGGCTCTCCCCTGCCTGTTCTGTTTTTTGTGAATTGATGGCAAATTGATATCGACAGAATTGCTCAATCCTCTAGTTAGCTGTCGTCATGGAGTGGCAGCAGTAAAGAGAGCAGAAGCGACAGAGCAGCGTGCATAAGTGTATTTGCTTCACACCAGGCTTTGCTGCAAGTACAGTAAGGCTTGTGTCCACTTTTGGTGGGATTGTATCTTACCTGGGAGTTGAAATTGTAAGAGCCTGTGAGCCTTGTGTTGGGGAAATGTTCATGCTATCAGCTGATTTCCAGTTAATATTGATAGATGATAGCTTTGTCCTTTAGCATCATAACCTTTTTAGACAGTTGTTATAAAATGTTATGGAACCTAATTCATTATTTTAATGAAAAACAAAAATTGCCCCTTGCAGCCCTGTTTGAGAAGCGCTACCGAAAAACTGAAGATACTGCCGTGTTGATACAATACAATAGGTGGTGTTTCCTCTCCACCTAGTCTTAAAACTTCATGGAATGTACTTTTTTATAAATGTACTTTTCTTGATGTGGCACCTCTAAGTTTTTTAATTTAAATGTGTTTCAGGCTTTAAAGTATTCCTTTCAGACGCATGATCGCTTGTGTTTTGTTATGGAGTATGCTAATGGAGGAGAGGTAAGGAAAATTTGAACCACCTTCAGTTATTTTTGGATTTTCCTGTAATCTACATTTATAGTTGGTTTCATGGCCCTTGCTGAGAGACCGTGCCTGCAAATCTTGGAGTTTACTGCAAATGTTATCTCTCTCTAATAGTCCCTGTTAAATGGCAGTGCTCACAGGACTTAGGTCTATGAGTAAGGGTTGTCAGAGGCTTTTCCTCAGTAATACAGATTCCAGTAGTATCTTTAGGTTGACATCTGACTTCACTACATCTTGACATTGCTTTGTGGTTGCTCTATAATGTTGAAGCTTTAGGATTTGTTTAATATTAGAATGTAAAAACACAGTGCTTTGAAGAGATCTATACACAAAAACGAGAGCTTTTAGAACAAGGACTGGTTCAGATAAGGAAAATTTCCAGCTGAGGAAAAAGTCATTTTTCTAAAACGGGGCTGTTGGTTGTAGCTGAGTTGGTCTAAGGACTTAGGCAAGCAAGGTTTTTTGGTAAATGTCATATCTTTTATTAGACCAAGTAAGGGTGTTTGTGCTCGAAAGCTTGCAAAGAACTTTTTTCTAACTATTTAGTTAGTCTAAAAAGATATCACATCTACCCAAAGAACCTTACCTACGTTTCTAAAACAATGCATTCAAGTCTGGTATAAAATGTAGCTGTAGTTTTAAATGAGAGATTTTTCTTTTGGTTTATATGTCTAAATGTGTGGTGCATAATGAAGTTATCAAATAGAGCAGATGTACGTTTGCAGTAGATTAAATTAATGTTTAATCATTTAATTTAGGGTACAGCTTAGAACCTTTTGGAGCACAGGTGTGTGTGGGTGGGTGGGGAGAGGTTTCTCTCTTGGTTAATATCTGCTTCTAAGCAGCATGTTCTATAAAGTAGCGTACATCATTCAGAAACACGTGCATTCTAAATGTAACAGATGATTGTTGTTGTAGTTGTTTTTCCATCTGTCAAGAGAGCGCGTTTTCTCCGAAGACCGGGCTCGGTTTTATGGAGCTGAGATTGTGTCAGCACTGGATTACCTGCATTCAGAGAAGAACGTGGTTTACAGAGATCTGAAGGTACATAGAAGCCTTCTAATTTCATAGGCCACTGAAAATTGGCACGGGCTATTATTTACTTTTGGAAATTTACAAAATAGCACTTAAACATTGTAAACCAGATGTGCTAAATGTACATATACTGATGGGCCAGGGAATTTGGGAGTGCACCAAAAGAGGGCAGGGCTTCTCACAGAATCCGTGGCCCCTTGGACATGGCCATTGATGGCAGGACATGAGTGAGGGTGTATCCACATAGCCTGTTTGCCCCACTGTTGCTTGGCCCACAGTTTGCCCTGCTGCTGCTTGCTCACCACTTGAGAGCGGCTGCTTAGCCTGCAGCCATGTGGCTTATAGCCCTCGCCATGGTTATCAGATGCTCCTGGTCACTGGCCCCACAGATGTGGCCCACATGGAGCTTTATGGTTTGAATCCAGCATGGGGTCAGTTTGAAATCCCTGCAATAAACCTGTCCACTGGAATTTAATATAAGAGAATTTTGCAGTTATTATTTTGATACACTGAATTTATAAGATTTCACCCAACACTTGCATAATCTACCTGTTATAGGTAGGATATTGGTGCCTTTGCTACCAGTGCCCCAGTGGAACACAAAGAAGTGCTTTGCTGTTGTAGATGTATCTTTGAGTGGCAGTAAAGCTAAAAATTGACCACTCTCATTAGGAGAGAGGGACTGGCAGTTCTCCTAAGTAGTGAAGGATCAGCTGAACATCTTGGCCACATTCTCTCTGTTAGTGTACACATGTGATCCTTGGGTACATTTTGCTCTCCTAACATCCTGTTTCTCTCGCACTTACATTTGCTCAGTTGCTTACTACTGAGGGGAGGGGGAATCTAACTTACCCTTCCTGGCGGAGAAAAAACCCTCTGCTGCTTTTCTTTCCCAGAAGTGCATGCATTTCAGGGTGGGGGAAGTGATGCTACTAGATATTCAGCCCATCATTCATTTTAGGAGCCATCTGAATGGCTGTTGATCTAGATCAGTGGTTCTCAAACTATGAGGTGGAACTCCCTAGGGAGGTGCGGTGTCATGTCAAGGGAGGTGCAAGCTGTGAGTCTTTTTTTATTTTTTTTGAGGAGAGGTTGGATGAATTTTTAAAAAGTTATATATTTTAGATATATTATATTTTAAAATAACTAAAAATAAAATAATGCAAAAAGCTTGTGTTTAGTATACTAATGTTGCATAGCAACTGTGCCACATCAGACTGTGGCGAGCAAAAATATAGTCCGTGGGCCGAATCCAGCCCACCAGGTGATTTCATCTGGCCTGCGGATGGGTGCCCACCAAACCCCACCCACTCCTGCCAAGGCAGCACGCTGTGCTCCTACCCTCATGCACAGCAGGGCCCCAGCCCTGGCCAGCGCACACTACTTCATACATTCACAGATTATAAGGGGCTGGAAGGGACCTCGCAAGATCATCGGGTCCAGCCCCCTGCACTAGCCAGGAAAGACAACTGGGGTCAGATGACCCCAGTGGGGTGACCGTCCAGTCTCCTCTTGAAGATCTCCAGGGTAGGCGATTGCACCACCTCTGGAGGGAGCTTCTTCCACACTCTGGACACCCTGACTGTGAAGAAGTTTTTCCTAGTGTTAAGCCTAAAATGGTCTTCCAGGAGTTTGTGCCAATTACTTCTAGTTTTCCCCAAGGGTACCGTGGTGAACAGTTGGTTGCTGAGCCCTTGATGTATTCCCCTGATATAGCAGTAAGCTGCTACCAAGTCTCTTCTCAGCCTTCTCTTTTTTAGGCTGAAGAGGCCCAAGTTCCTCAGTCCTTCCTTGTATGGCTTGCCTTGCAAGTCTCTGATCATTCAGGTGGCTCTTCTCTGGACTCTCTCAAGCTTTTCCACTTCCAGGCAGGGCTACTGCTGTTGCCACCTGGAAAACTGCTCAACTTCCCCAGCCTCCAGGAGCTCCTTCTCCTATCACTGCTGCAGTCCTCCAGGCAGCAAGTAGGGAAGTTGGGGCGGGCAGAGGGAAGCTGTAGCTGAGCAGGAGCTCAGGACTGGGGCTGGCAGGTGCCCAGTGGGGTGGAAGGAGTGCAGAGGTCAGATCAGCCCAGTTCCATCACACAGAGCTCCCCGCAGCTCACGTGCAGCTCTCAGGACTTGTGCGCTGCCGGGGGAAAGTCCCGCACGATGGAGCGAGCAGGGTTCTCTGTTCTCTACCACCATATGCAGCTTCTGGAACTCCGCTGGAAGTGGCAGGGAGCACCGTGCGATGGAGCCAGGCTGGCTTGGCTTTGCTCCTTGCTTCCTGGTGGGGTCTTGCATGTGGTGGCAGGGAGTGTGGCCAGGCCATTGTCTCCATCGCATGGGGCTTCCGCCCCAGCAGCTTGCAAGTCTGAGAGCTACACAAGCCGCTGGGAGCCCCATGTAATGGAACCGGGCCGGGCTACCCCCTTCCC